AAGTCTGTGGTTTGCTGTTAAGCCTTGCAAGTTTTTGCTGACCCAGTCTTTTTGCATTTCTGCTGATGGTCTAAATCCTGGAAAGCAAGAGTGCCTCCATCTTTAACAGGCGTTCTCTTTCATTTTCCTCCAGAAAGTAATGAAGGATGCCTGCTACAATGCGAATGAACCTTGAAAACTTTATACTAAACGAAGGAAGCCTGACAGAGTAGGTAGCATCTTGTATAACTTCATTTAAATGAAATATACAGAATAGTTAAATCCATAGCAATAGAAGGCAGATTGGTGGTTGCATGCTCTGCGGGGAGGAGGAATCGGGAGTGATTGCTCAATGGGTACAGAAATAACCATTGACATAGACGCACACTCTGAGCCCACCCCAACTTGATTTTGGGGTGAAGGAAATAATTAGAAACTAGATAAAGGTGATGGTTGTGTAATTTTGTTAATGTACTAAATGCCACTGATTTGTTCACTTTAAAATGGTTAATTTTTTGTTATGTCAATTTTATCTCAATGAAAAAAAATTATTCTTTCAAGTCCGTATTGGAAAAAGAAAACCTAAAGCAAAAGCAGGACGAAAACACAATAAATTGATGGAAGAACACGTTTTTAGAACCAGTTCTATGTATACATGAAAACTTAATGTGTGATAAAGACAGCATTTCAAAACTGTTGGATAGTGATAATTTAATGAGAGGTTTGTGGACAAGAGATCATACATGGGTAGAAGAACTTTGCCTCATTAATTAATTCTTGCATTTAGGAAAAGTTCCAAACACAAAATATATTACAAATACAGCTAATATTAAAATATTATAAAGCTAACAAAACTCTAAAGGACTGAGAAGAAAACAGAAAATAAGTCATGTATAAGTTAGGCATTTTAACAAACTATGAATATTTAGTGTCGACCAGCCAATAAATAAGCTAGAGAAATTAATTCAAAATCAACAATTTCAGGGATAGCCATTAATCGGAGATAGCATTTATGTTTGTGAGTTCCTGTGGCCAGCTGAGGTTAGTTTTACACAGTTACCCTTTTAAAAGGCAGGTGTATCTTGTTGGCAAAGAAGTAAAGCAGTTTTAATGACTTTATGTATCCAAATTTAAAAACAGGGTGGGTTTTTTCTTTTCTTTTCTTTCTTTTTTTTTTTTTTTTGCCTCAAACCCTTTTAGTTTAAATGCCTTGAACATTTTTAATGTGATAAAGGCTTATGAGATAATACCTTAGAACACATATTTCCACTAGAATCTATTTTTTTCCTTAAACCTTTCAAAGAGTTTTTGTC